AACTTGCACAGTCGGCGAAAATAACAGATCACTTGGCTGTTTGGTGTGTGTTGAGCAAACTATCGTTCGAGACTACAGTACAACACCTGAGTGGTTAATATATCTGTTATGGCAGGTGGAGCCGGCCACGGGTCCACGCGGCACTGTGCATATGAACAGTACCAGGTCAGATTAGATTAGATTGGTTTGTTTTGTTAGGAAATAGATAAATTAGATTGATTCGGTTAAGATATTACTTAGGGTCAAGTAAGTTGTCTTTATAAAAGAGACCATCATGTATCAGTTAGAGTCAAGCAAAAAGAAATCCTAAGATAGAAAAGGGCGGCTCCTCTGCTAATCCATCTATCCGTTTCCATATCAATTGGTAGAAAGGGCGCGCAATAGTGCCGGATTAGATTAGATCTTGGTTTGTTAGGAAATCCATCTTATCCGTAGTTAGGATATTACTTAGGGATCAAGTAAGTTGTCTCTATCTAGAGACCATTTCATGCAAAAAGAAATAATTAATTGCGGCTATCCGTTCTCTGCTAATATCCGTAGTAATCCATAACAATATCACTCTTTTCATATAAAAAAGAGTATCATCCTTCATAACTCCATACTCTGTATATAGATTATCATCCTTCAATCAGATAGATACCCAATCGATAGATACCCATCGCGAACGAACGGAAATGATTGTTGAGAAACCTAATCCGTATATCCATACGGCCATCGGGTCCCCTGCAGGGGTATCCATCCACCTCGGCGTGTTCATGAATCGCCGAACCTAAACGGCAGTGCTCACTGCAAGACGTCCGGACGGGCGGACCGGATCGCACTCCGCTCTCTCACTCTATCTTATCTAGCGTCGCTCGTCAGTCTGCTTCTCTAAAAAAAACAGCGCTCCAACGCGAGCTCCTCGCCATGGCCTTCTCTAGTGCGGCGGCGCTTCATCCGCTCCCATCCCGCACTGCTCCGTGCTCCACTCCCCACTTCACGCCGCACGGTGAGGCCGCCCGCCCCACTCTGCCGCGCCGCGGCCCACCCCAGCGTGCCATACCCCACGGTGCACCCCATCCCCGCCTCTGTCCCCTGCCGCGCCTAGGCCAGGCGGCAAGGAGAGGGGGGCTCGCTGGCAAGGCCCAGAAAAGGTGCAAGTGCAGCTGGCCGCTGCCAGGCCGCGCCACCATCCTCAGCCACTGGCTTGCCAAAATCGGTTGTTTCCTCCGCTCTGTGTTGCGTCGTACATAAGAAGAAGGGTGAGAACCGCATGTTGCAAGAGTATGTTTCAAGTGTTATATTTTAGAGGTATGTTGCACGTGTTGTATATCGATATTGCAAAAGTAGATCGGAATGTTGCACATGTTGTAATGGCTATACACGTATGTTTCAATTGTATGTTCTAAATGTTTCATCTTTCCAAACGTATGTTGCAAATGTTTTATCTCGATATTGCAAAAGTAGATCTAGATGTTGCATATACATGCATGTTGCAAACATATATTTTAGGTGTTTCATATATATATTTTGCAAGTGTTTCATCTGGATGTTTTATATATTTGCAATGGTTTTTAAATTCTTTTCAGATGTTTTTGTAAATGTTTCATACGTTTGTTTTAAGTGTTTCATCTGTTTCTTTTATATATTGCAACTGTTATATTTGGATGTTTCAAAAATAGATCGAATGTTGCACATGGGATGCGGTGGAACCGGTTGATGGCGCGGTGACGCCCGGAGCGACGCGAGACTACTGCTGGTGCGCTCACTCGTGAGCCGACGTGGTAGACGCTCGCTCGCTCCGTGTACAGGCACCATACGAATGCTGGCACCCCATACGAATGCTGGCACCCGAATCGGACGTACGGACGCTGCCAAGCCCAAACCCATAACAATCCCGCTGGCACCAGGCTCTTTGAATCGGACGTCCGGACGCTGCCATTTATTTTGCCGTAAACCCAAAATCGTTGACCCAATCCCGACCCTCGTGTTTTGATTTTGTCAACATTTAGTACATCATGCATATACTTTGATTTGATATGATTTTGAATCTTTTTTTACATAGGACCAAATTCAAAAATCTAGGGGAACTAAATCAAGGGAACTAAACATGGCTTTGTAGTAGCAAGCAGGTCAGGTTCCTTGTCGTCTTCCTCGTCTCCAGAGTGTGCCACTCTGCCAGTAACGTCAAATCGTTTAGCCTGCCTAATCAGATCGAGTAGTAGTAACACCTTTGTTTAACCCCCAACAGTTATTAGCTTGCTCAGATGAGATGGCTTTTGATTGATTCTGAGAACTGATGGACCGAGAGAGTAGCACTGAAGCAACAGAAAATACGCTTCCTGTGCAAGTTTCAGCAGCAGGTGATCAATCGCCGTCAACTAAACCAGAACAGCTCGTTTAGTTCCCAACAATTATTATTTTGCTCAGATGAGATGGCTTTTGATTGATTCTGAGAATAGTGATGGAATCAGCTAGAGTAGCACTGAAGCAACAAAAAAATACGCTTCCTGTGCAAGTTTCAGCTAAACAGGTAATTAATTTTTTTCGCTCAATTTAATATTGATCACGAAGGCCGGATTCGATGTGATCGTTTGGCCTTTTTTGGATTTGGGGTAGCAACTAAACACCTTGAGAATTGATCAAAGGGCCGGCACACCGCACATCTTCACCCAGTTTGTTTGGGCTTGTTTAATATATAAGCCATGGCTGAAAGTACTGTTGGCTAATTTGGTGTGAGAGAAAAATATTGTTCGTTGGCTGATAAGTCATGGCTTATAGGTCTTGTTCGCTTGGAGAAATTTAAAGGAATCTGAAGAATTTGTGAGAGTGTGAACAGTGATTTTCAGCCATAAACAATGAATTCCGGTTGATTTTGCACCAGCCGAACGGCGCCATAAGCCGAATACTACCAAACGAACAGACTGCTTGTAGGCCAACAGAACAGTTTGGCGTTCATCCATGGTTCACCGTCATCCGTGGCGCCAACACAAGGGTTCCCGTCCCATGCCACCACATGCATCCTGCTGGTACTATTTGAACAGAGATAGGTCCCGTATTGGCACATTGGCTCCGTTCGCTTCGCTGAAAAAACAAGTTGAAATATTATTCGGCTGATTTATTGTGAGAGAAAAATACTATTCCGACTGAAAAACAAACTAAAAAAGACGGATTATAAGATAAGCGAACGGGGCCATTGAGTACCTGAACTGAAACTGATGTTGCAATCATGCGTTTTGTGACTGTATTTGTACCCCCCATGTGACGATCTCATGCATTCTCATCTGAGTGAGCTTTCATTGCAACCTACTCCTACACAAAGGTTGGTTTGGCTTGATTGTTAGGCAATCTATCACAGCCTAATTAACCTTTGCACAAGGTCCACATGAAATGCAGTAGGAGTACACTACGTACGTTTTTTTTTCCTGACTATCATGCATTTGATTGATGTAGTGAGTAGCTATTCTCATCCCACAGATTTTTTATGGTCCGTCTATGCCACACCTGAGCGTTTTGGGAGCCCAAAACGCTTGATTCTTTTCTTCAGGCGTCTTCCTCCTCCCAACGCGCCGCCGCAGCGCAGTAGGGTCTCATCGGAGCCCCGCGTTCTTCCCGTGTCCCCCTCCTACCACCGCCGCCATGGCATGGGCGCCCCCTGCCCCAACTTGGCCAGGCCACTGCACCGCCGTGGCGCAGTAGGGTCTCACCGGAGCTCCGCGTTCTTCCCCTCTCCCCCTCCTGCCGTCGCCATGGCATGGGTGCCCCTGCCCCAACCTGGCCAGCCGCCTGCACCGCCGTCGAAACCCTAACGCCACCCTCTTGTTGTCCCCACCATCTGGCCGCCCTGCTCTCCCGAGCCCCTCTAGGCCCGTCGTAGTTGGAGAAGAAGGGGAGAGGCCAGAGATGGAGAAGAGAAAATTTGAGCGTTGGATTGCTCCGAAACACTTGAGTGTGTTCTATAGCATTTTCAGTTTTTTATCTATATAGAGACCAATCCATATATTCCCTAGTGTTGGTGCCCTGTGGAATTTGAGGATATATTTCGACATTTCGTCTCCAGCTATTTGGATAGCGCAGTGAGTGAGCAGAGTTTCAAAGTAAAGGAGGTTGTATTGTAACTCCAACCCTTACGTGTCCCACGGGCCAAGCTCTATGTTCTTTTCTTTCTTCATACCAATCCAAATAGGGCTCTGTTTGGCTAGCGGAATAAATGGCTGATGCTAATGCTGATTTGTTGTGAAAGAAAAATACTGTTATTTCACTGAAACGGTATGACCGATAAGTTTAAGCGAACGAGGTCTAGCTAAGCACTCACTAATTCATCCCACAGCTAAGCTACGATTATACATCCTCCTCAACAGTAGAGCATCAAATCAAAATATACATACCCTCCCCTGCAAACAGCTGAACTGAAAGCAACCACACCCACCCCTGGCGGCGAGCACGTCACGTACAAGTACAGTTGAGAGGCAGAGGCGCCTTGCCTCTCTTTTTGACAGGACTTATTGCTACTTTGATCGGGCCAGAGCTAATTGCTCGAGGAAACATGACTTAGCGTTCGCTAATAAAAAGGTAGAACTATCTATTTAATTTGGTGGATTGAGCAGGATTCATTCCGGGACGGAAATGACTCAAACGAACGAGCCCTTAATAAGATTGGAGGTGCAGGTCCCTCCCTGCTCCAGAGTCGTCCTCCTCCCCTCGCTACCAAATTCGCCACCAGCCCACCACCTCCCCTCCCCATCCAATCCTCTGCTCATCCATCATCTTTGGTTGCCGCCTCTCCTTCACTTCACTTCACTTCACCTCACCTCACCTCACTCGCGCCATCATCGCGCCACCGCCCGCCGCCTCACCAAACCACCAAACCTACCTTCTTTGCAGTTGCAGCAGCGGCAGGCGGGCAGCAGACATACATATCGATATCACCCAGCCGCCGCCATAGTAGATTAGATTGATCTCTCACTCTCTCAGTCAGAGGGCCAGGCCAACAGGGAGGAGGAGCAAGCACCGCCATCGCCATGTCCAGCCCCATGCACGTCCGCAAGGCCATCCACTTCGCCTCCCTGCGCGCCAAGCTCGCGCAGCAGGGCAAGGCCGGCCTCGCGCTGCGCCTGCTCCTCGCCGCCGCGCTCGCGGGCTTCCTCCTCGTCTTCGCCGCGCGCACCCTGCTGGTCTCCTCCCCTGCTGCCCCAACAACCTCCTCCTTCTCCACGTCCCAGCGGCAGCAGGATCATCAGGACGCGGCGGAGTGCGCCAAGGCGACGGGCCTGCCGCTGCCGGTGATGGAGGCGCTGGTGCACTACACCACCTCCAACGTGACGCCGCAGCAGACGGCCGACGAGATCGGAGTCTCGCTGCGCGTGCTGCAGCGCCGCGCGCCCTGCAACTTCCTCGTCTTCGGCCTGGGCCACGACAGCCCGATGTGGGCCGCGCTCAACCACGGCGGGCGGACCGTGTTCCTGGAGGAGGACGCGTCGTGGATCGCCACCGTGCGGTCCACCCACCCGGCGCTCGAGTCCTACCACGTCGCCTACGACACGGTCCTCACCGACGCCGACGCGCTGCTGGAGCTCCGCGACCACCCGGCCTGCGTCGCGCAGCCGGACCTCGCCTCCGCCGCCGAGGCGTCGTGCCGCCTCGCCCTCAAAGGCCTGCCCCAAGTCTTCCACGAGGTGGAGTGGGATCTCATCATGGTGGACGCGCCCACGGGGTGGACGCCGCAGGCGCCGGGACGGATGGGCGCCATCTACACCGCTGGCATGGCGGCGCGCGCGCGCAGGCCCGGGGATGGACCCACCGATGTGTTCGTGCACGACGTCGACCGGCCCGTCGAGGACGCCTTCTCCAAGGCGTTCCTCTGCGAGGGGTACCTCGCCGAGCAGGTCGGCCGGATCAGGCACTTCGTCATCCCGTCACACCGCGAGAAGGACGGCACGCCATTCTGCCCTTGAGAAAACTTTATTTCAGAGTTGCATTGAGAGCCATCCATCTATCGATCCTTTTTGCATTGCCTTTACATACATGCAAGGGGATAAAATACTACAGCAGCAGAAGCCATCACGAACTGGAGCTCCTTGATTCATTCTTTCTCTACTACTGCTACTGTTACTACTACTCCTGCTCTAGAGCTGTTGTCAAAGATCAAAATGTTTCGTGATAGAATTTTGGGGGTGACACCACACAATGCTGGAATTAGGAGGCGGGTTTGCGCGTGCCGTCCGATCGGGAAATGGATGCGCCAGATTCAGTGTAATTCTTCTTCTTCTTCTTCTTCTTCTTCTTCTGGTCGTAGATGCGATGCGTTGTTCTTTCTTCTTCTTCTTGCTCTGCTTTGGATTGGATCGAACGGTGCACATTTGCCTGATATGGTGGCTCATCAAGAGCTGGAGCTTGTTATGTGATGTGGGTGTAGCCAAACTATTACCATTGCTGGATGTTTATGATAGATGTTGCTTGCAATTTTTTATTCTAGTGTTTGTGCCATTGCTAACAACGCAAGGAGATATCATCTACACTGAGTCGTTGAGAGTTGGGCAGGAAGAACAAGACACTCCTGATGGAAGTGTCACACCTTCGATGTTGATTTAAGATTTTTTTTTTCTTTTCTGAATGCAACTAACACAAACGGACGAATATACAATGTAAAAGTTGAGAGCTTGCATTTTTGTCTGCTTTTGTCTCCAGGTACAAATCTACTCGGATGATAGCTAAGCGCGTTTAGTTCCCCAGGGTACAAATCTATTTGTAAATAGTGTTCAGGTTGGAGAGAAACGTTCGATAGCTTAAAAGCCGGATGTAAACTTCGATTTGCAACTTTTTGGAATTTGGATCCAACTAAACAAGGGCTAAAAGCCATGGCTCTGCTCAGCTGCTGCTGCTGCTGCAACTGGCTGCAGTGCAGTGCAATTAGCCAATTACTACTGGTGTCTGGTGACTGGGACCAGTATCGTCTTGGAATGTTCCTGCAGGCGCATGGCCTTTTGCTGACCTACTACAGAGCAAATGCCATGCTTGGTTGGGCATTTTGTGAGCAGGGCTTTGATTTCCATGGCACTGTGGCCAATGAACAAAGTAAATGAAATCACCTTGTGAGCCGTTCCTAGTTCATTCATGGCAGCCATCCTATGTGGTACCACTGCAAGTACGGTCGAGTTGCACTGGAGAAGAGAATCATGTTTGGCCCTACGAGGTACTCTACTACACACTAGAGTAACAGTACGAGCAGGTCCTCTGTCTGAAAATACTCCTACCAAACATGACTCAAGAACGGTATTGGAGAGTAAAGTTTTTAGAGGTTGACTGTATGAATCTCTGCTGTTTACATCTGGTAACAAAGAGAAGATTTTGTCTAAGAAACATATTTCATCAAGTGTATGTTTCTGAGATTTTGCAAGTCAGGAGATGTTATCATCTCCGGAGAGTGCTCAGAATTGGGTATAGATGTGACAGTTTTGATGGCAGTGTCACACCTAAGATGCCATCTGAGATTTTTTTTTCTGATTGCAACAACTACAACTATGCTAAGATGAGTTATGTGCTCAGAATTGGGTATAGATGTGACAGTTTTGATGGCAGTGTCACACCTAAGATGCCATCTGAGATTTTTTTTTTCTGATTGCAACAACTACAACTATGCTAAGATGAGATATGTGAATGTGCATATTCAGGTTGGAAAGCTGAATATGATGAGTTGGCGCCCGTGAAGAGGCAGGATTCCAGGTACTACCAACTGATGGATGAAAGTTCAATTACTGCTGGTACCCTAGGAGTACTTGTATGTGTTGTCTTTGCCTCATTGGCCAACTGGTGAGTGTGACTTGGATTTGATGTCTTCGGAATGTTGCTGCAGTGCATCCATCACCTGTTGCTGAAAAATTAAAAGTGACAAGCTCGGTTGGGCATTTTGCAGGCAGCACTGCAGGGACTTGCAGCCTGTTTCGTTACGATCCTAGATTATAAGCATAAGCTGAAATAGTATTTTTCTCTCATACCAAATCAGTCAGCAATATTTCTAGCTTATAATCCACGATCGTTTCAGCCGAAATGAACAGGCTGTTGATTTCCATGGCACGATGGCCAGAGAGGAAGAAATCACATGGGGAGTTCTACCTACTAGTTCATTGATGAAATAAAATCCTATGTGGTATAGTACCGAGTGTCAGTGGATTATTAGCCCTTTTGCAGAGGCAGGTAGCAAGTGATTTACAACTGCACCTACCACTAACCACTCCGATAGCAAATGCAAGCATTTCCTTTTATAAAACAAAGAAAGGTTATATGAAATACTACTAGTAAAAGTAACCAATATTCTACGAAAAACATGGCTCAAGGTGAATGCAGATTTTTAAAGCTTGGCCGCACGGATCTCTCTGCAGTTTATTTTTAGAGAGTAAGAAAGTGCAGGTTTTGTCTAAGATACACTTAAAGGCCTGTATTTTTATTCCAAAATCTGTGTGATTGCTGTGGATATGTTACTATCTGGAGTGAGTGGCTGCGAGTTGTGTTGGATTGGGACGCTCCTTATCCAAGTGTCACGTTTAAGCTGTCAATTCAGAGACAAACACTTTACTGGAGATCACTATATATAGTTGCCTTGCACATTTTTGGCTGAAAAATCCAGGGCAGGGGGCTTAATAGTATCGACTGTACATACTGAGGTCATGACCAGGTTTTATAGTTTCTACTACTCTGACCTGAGCTTTGATGTGTTTTGGGTGTTCCTACCCAGTTCGTTCATCGCTCCTTTCGTTGAAGAGAGGATTAGTATATTATGCCTGGTTGGGTTTTCATTTTTTATCGCGGGAAGGGTTTTCATTGATTCTACAAAGATTTGATTGTGTGATTACTAAAGAGATGTCACCATCATCTGGACTGAGTGGCTGAATCTGACGGCTGTTGGGTAGGACTAGGACAAATGGACAACCGATGGATCCTTATGAAAAAGAAAGTGTTACCGACTAAATTGACTAAAGATAAATGATGTTCACCTTGTACAGTTTGACATAAGAAAGTCAGGTTTCTGGTTACATATCAAAGGTAGGCCGGACCCAATCCCCACCATGACTTCAGGCTCTACATACACACCATCAGAAGAGTTTAGTTGTTGACTTTGATGTCCTAGGAGAGGGTAAAGTTTCAAAATTTTGTCTCATGAACTACCCTGGAGATCACAGTTTACTGACTGGGTACTGTATACTTTACCGACGAGGTATGCATTTCAAAAGTAGGATAAATTTCTTTTCTTGCCATTGCAATTTTACAAATGGCATGTTCGCTGGTTGGTTTCTGGGCTGATAAGTTCGGCTGGTGCTGGTTTGTTGTGAGAGAAAACACTGTTGGCTGACTGATAAGCTCTGTCTGAAACCAATAAGCGAATATGCTGAAAATCTCTTATTTGCCACTATTAATGACACATGGGCCATGTCACTGACACATGAATGCAAAATAAGGGATTGCAGATTTTATAATGCAAATGGAGGAATAGGATTAAATAGTTTGATTTTTTTTTTATGATTAAAGTAGTTTGATTTCCTGACAACTAATCATTAACCCAGTACACACTTTGACATGTAAGATCTAATTCACCGGACTTTAACATGTAAGAAATCCTATATATGTGTACAAATGTACTAGGCCACTAGAAATAATTTATTTATTAACATGAAGCTGAATAAAAAATGAGTCACATCATTTCAACTTTATAGCCATGGGACTAACACTACTTTCTTCGGCACTACTTCAGCTGAAAAATGAATAAATCAGTATAAACCAAATTTTAGCAAAACGAACAGGTTCTTGTTTTGGTTGAACTTTGGAATCGTGACATTATTTTACAGCAAAAGGATAGGTTTTGTAAGCAATTATTTACAATTTGGTCACTATATTGCAACAATATAGCAATCCCCACCTCCCACCAGTTTGCATCAAAAATTTGGACTGTCAAATAACCAGAATGCTCATCGGGATTTTGGGAAATACTATTCATGCCCATGCTGGCCCCATGTTCTAGCAAGAGTGGCTACAAAGATTCATGTGTTTTTCATTAAATGGAAAATGAGATCCACCCTCTCACGGTCAATGTTGCCAAACAAAATATAGTTTTTTTCGACTGAGATTCTTACAATCTAGCTTTTTATAATCTGTTAGAATAGGCGCCTATGGGCTGGCCATGGGCCTGACACCCAAGCCTATTGGCTGGGATGCCTCTAGGAATTATGGTAGATGATTATTGATTAGGCAAGGATCATCGTTGATTGGGTGTTTCTATAAACCTTTTCCGATCCTTGCCTATATAATGTACTCCCTATACCGATATCAATCTATCACAATTTCTCGAGACCTATTTGCTCTTATGGTATCAGCCGCCTAGGTTTAGGTCTTCCTTCACACACCCACTGCGGCGCTGCGCTCGCCGTCCGGCGCCATGTCCCCCCTCTCCTCTCCGGGTCTAGGGATGTTACCGCTGAAGAGATCGCGGCACACCAGGTCAAGGAGAAGGCGAACGCCGCCGCCGCCGCCCAACTTCTCAACAAGGAGCGCCAGGCTGCCCTGGCTCGCGCTGCCCGGGCCAAGGAGGAGGCTGCAGCCGCCGTCAAAGATCGCGACGTGGCTGCTGCCCCCGGTGCACCTGGAGGCGCCTCCTCCAGCACATGTTCCACGTCTCCTCCTGACCTCGCCTCAGCCATGCTCCTCCATGAGGCCATGGCACTGCTGCAACTGCACGCCCAGGCCGTTGCCGTCAACAACATTCGGAACCACGTCACCACCGTCCTTGATGTCGACTCCGGCAACTTCAACCACTGGCGCGATCAGTTCCTGCTCATCCTCAGCAAGTTCTCTCTTCATGACCACGTCCACGAGGAACCTCTGGCCCCGATCTCCCCTGATTAGGCTCGGATGGACTGCGTCGTCAAGTCCTAGATCGTCGCCACGCTCATCGACGACCTTGCCG